ACATTTAAAAAAAATTACAAATAACTAAAATAATTATATTGTTACAGAAATAAATCACAAAATAATGGGATTGATTAGTATATTGATAGCCACCTTTTTATGGCATACTGTGAATCTGTATATGTGATATACTAAAAAAGGTTGGCTATCAATATACTAATCAATCCCATTATTTTGTGATTTATTTCTGTAACAATATAATTATTTTAGTTATTTGTAATTTTTTTTAAATGTTCGTTTTTTCAATAAAGTCGTAAACATTTTCAAAAATTATGGAAAGAAAAAGAGATTCAATCGAAAGGTTTGGCAAAGAATTGGTTGAAGTGATCGTCAGTTATCTTCCACTCAAAGATCGCTATTATTTTGAACGACTGTCCAAACGGTTCCAGACTTTGGTTTACAAAACCATTTTAGATATTAATATCGACGACAAACTGATGGAGAAATTGAGAGAAGAAAATATTTTTGGGGAAAAATATTTCAGTTCAAAAATGTTGTCAAAATTAATGAAAAAGTGTCCGAATATAACACGTGTGGACACAACACGTGTTATTCATAACAAGGATTTAATGCATTTCTTTGTGTCAATGAATGAATTGCGAGACAATTGGCCGAAACTCAATGAAATGTATGTTTCAATCGATGAATTGGATTCAAATGAAAGATTATTTGTTTTTAAACATTTTGGACAAATAATCACAATTAATTACATTAATCTTAAGCGACCTTGTTATATTCCCAAAATGGTTGACCAAACATTACATTATTATTGTAACCAAATATCACAACTTGATGTCCAATCATTAGATGATATTTTTGATGATAACAAACAACTAATGTTTAATAATTTAACAAAATTTACATTTAATATGAATTTGGGATTTGATGACAATTTATTTCACATTTTTGTTGCAAATACAAAATGCTTAAAAAGTCTGTCGATTACTGGTATAAATACAATCAACTTCTTGTATAAGAAATCATTGCTTGAATTGATGTCACAATTATTACAATTACACGAATTGAGAGAATTGTCGCTACAATTCAATGATTTATCGCATGAAATAACCGACTATTTGCGTAAAATTGGCCACAATTTAACAAAATTAAACAGATTTACGTTAATTCATGTGCCAATCGATAACAAAAGTTTTATTTTTAGTTCATTTATAGCTTTGGGAATGTTTCATAGATTAAGACATCTTATCATTGATTTACGTTTTGATAGACAACTGACAACCGATTGGCGAGCATTGGATTCAATGCAATGTTTGCCACAATTAACACATTTGTTATTATATTTATGGGAAATACCCAATGAATTAGTTGATAAAATAAGCGTTATTTTTCCAAATATTAAATCACTTGTTATTCACGATTGCAGTCATTGTTATATAAATTCAATTAATTTGGTTCTCATCTCAAGACTACAAAAATTAAAAATTTTGAAAATACAAGCAAAAGATTCAATACATATAACTGAAAGGGATTTGACGGCAATGTTTAGCACAAGTGATAGATTAGAGTCCATTCATATCACAGACGGACGAAAATCTTACATTCAATTCAGAGACAAACAAATTATCAATAATTGGAAATAAATAAACAACTTTATTATGATTTGAATTTTGTAAAAATGTAATTTAATAAAAGAATTCAATGAACATTAAATAATAAATGCAAACATTATGATATTTAATGAATTATTTCTCACGTTTAAAATATTTTAATAAATAAAATTTTTAAAAATTAGAATAATTAATTTTTTAAATGCATATAAAATGAGTTAACTTAAAATATTGATTAAAAATGCAAAATAATGTTTCATAATATATAACAATTCGCAGCGCTAGTAACATGTGGGCAATTTTAAATTTATATTACAATTATGTTTTGTATTACTGATGAGTATTGACTGATCAATAATTGTTGTAAATAGGATTTACTTAATTGTTGAACAGAAATACATATAACTTTGCGATTAATCTTATAAAATAAATATACGACAAATTATTATAAGATAATAAAGGCCTTTATAAATTTGTTTCCATCATAGCATACCTGTGTCAGTAGTTTGCGTATGTCTTTGGTTATGGTATTATTAAATCAAACATATTATCACTTTTACTACTTTTAATCAAATAATAGTGATTGAAATTTAGTCAAGTGTTTTAGCACAATTACAAAACCCATTATTTGTCAATTATTTCAATAAATTGATTACTAAATATAGTTATCATTGCTTTAAAGCACTTGTGAGACCGATAGCATACAGTACATTGAGTTTAATGTAAAACTGCCAAATTGATGATAAAGAAGGATAGCCGCCCCTAATGCATAGCTGGCCCCGCTACATCAACATAGATCCTAACCCCGACTTCATTACATGTGTCAACCATATCGGCGAATGCCTTCTCGTCACCCGAGCGGGGCCAGCGTTAGCATTATGAGTGGCTATCCTTCTTGTTTAGTGTACCTGTGCTCAGCAGTTATGCCAACGATTATTGTAAAGTGTGAGTAAAAGCACAGGTACTGTATGTTTATATGTACTCTCAGGCAAGAGATATAATAATAATAGACACCCGTATATAAAGCCCGACAAAACAGCCAACTATTCATACGATTGGTGAAAAACAAAATTATTAAACAAAAACATATTACAAATCCAATTGTAAAATGTTTAGTCACGCAATCGTTGGGCTCGTAATAGCCATATGTGCGGCGCCGGCACTGATCACCGGGAGTCCCTTCAGTGACCCACACTTTAAGGACAACCGATCAGTAATAGTACACCTCATGGAGTGGACGTACGCAGAGGTGGCCAAAGAGTGTGAGTTATTTTTGGGCCCCTATGGCTTTGGAGGGGTACAACTGTCACCAGTAACTGAGGTGGCAGTGCAAAAATTTAGACCATGGTCGGAACGCTACGTACCCGTCACATATGAGATCAATGGCCGCTCGGGTGACGAGAAGGCATTCGCCGATATGGTTGACACATGTAATGAAGTCGGGGTTAGGATCTATGTTGATGTGGTGCTCAACCATATGACTGGGTCTCATATGAAGGGTAGGTGTGCTTGTACAGAATGATTTTGCCTATAATACCATAATTAATTAATTATTACCTTTATATAAACATAGGTAAGGGCACAGCCGGTCACACCTACAACGGCAAGGAGTTCAAGTATGATGGGGTTCCGTACACTCACCTGGACTTTCATCAACACCCGGCCTGTCCCACACCGGGAGACAATCTGGACATCCGTAGCGACAAATACGACGACCCGATTGAGGCCCGCAATTGCCAGTTGGGAGGACTCCGGGACTTAGATCAGGGCAAAGAGTGGGTGCGACAGAAACAGGTAGAGTTTCTCAACAAATTAATCGCACATGGTGTCGCCGGTTTCCGGTCCGACGCCAGTAAACACATGTGGCCTCAAGACTTGCAGAATATCACCGCCCGGTTGACTAATTTGATCACCAAGTACTTCCCGTCCGGCGCCCGACCCATGATATACCACGAGTATATATCGGGCGAGAAAATCAAGGCTACAGAGTATACACCGTTGGGTCGAGTGATTGAGTTTAAAAACTTCGACAATTTGGCCAGGGTGTTTCGCAAGTTGGGCGACAAACGGCTGAGCTATTTGCGTAACTACGGCGCCGGACCCCAGGGCTGGGGTATGCTTCCCAGCGATGACTCCCTGGTTATGGTCGACAGCCATGATCTGCAACGCGGACACACCGGCGATATCACAGTTACGCTCACCTATTTTGATGCCCGGCTATTGAAAATGGCCACCGCTTTCATGCTTGCCTGGCCTTACTCTATACCTAGAGTTATGAGCAGTTACTACTGGCCCAGGAATGTACAGGTAATACCAGCACATAAATTAGTTAACATATATTAATTTACTACTAATTACCATATGTTTTCTGTTGAGACAGAAAGTGGACAATCAATACAAAGACCTGAACGACTGGATGGGTCCGCCACACGACTCACAGGACCGGATAGTCGGCGTTCAACGTATGCCAGACCTGAGCTGCGATCCCAAAGTGTGGATCTGTGAGCACAGGTGGCGTCAGATCTATAATATGGTTAACTTTAGAAATACGGCCGGTTTTGAACCGGTGTCCAACTGGTGGGAGAATAAGTACCACTCGATTGCCTTCAGTCGCGGCAACAAAGCCTTCATAGCCATCAACAATGACGACCACCCCATCGATCAACAGCTCAACACTGGACTCCCGGCCGGCACTTACTGTGATGTCATTTCAGGCAATATTGTTGGTAAGTCATCTAGATTTTAATCTGATAATTATAAAACAAATAACATAATAAACTAATCATGTGTTTATAAATAGGGGGCAAATGTGAGGGCAGACAAGTGGTGGTGGGAACGGGAGGAATGGCACACATAGTGGTGGACAACAAATGGGAAGACCCGATGATTGCCATACATATCAACGCTAAACTTTAAAAATGTGTTATTAATTACGACATTTAATAGTTCCCTGGTGATTTATTAAAATATGTAATATTACATTGTGTGTTGGTATTATATGTTACTAAATCATTATTACACGCGCTAGAAACTGCATTCCAAATGACCATGATCAGTAAATCGCATCTTACAATAAAATAAGTTTTTAACTAAACATTATTTTTGTTGTATTTTGGAAATCATGGTTGTATAATTCCCACAATTCACATATTTATTAATATATCAAATAATAACAATTATTTTAATTAGATTATAATTTATTCAAACACATCGCGTTTACACATAATTAATGATGAATAATTGTTATCCATAGATAACATATTATTATTTATTATTACAATGTTTAACAAATTGCTGTCAAAAATCAATCTTAAATTAAATAATTTTTATTGTAATATAAACATCGGGTTAATTGATATAATTTCAATTGAATTAATCATCATGATAACATTTGTTTGAATATAAATATTTATTTTCGTAATCCTCGTTGTACCTGTAGTCAAATTAATCGTCATAATATGTATCATCAGAGTCTCCATAATAAATCTCTTCATCGGAGTTATCAACAAAAATCTCTTCATCAGAGTTAATGTCTTCAAACAACGATATATCAAAATATGTAATCAAATCTCCAAACAATTCATTTAAATAATTACGCGATTTGCTATCACTTTTGTTGGTATTTACGTAAATGTGTTTCAGTTTCGGCCAATTGTCTCGCAATTCATTCATTGACACAAATAAATGCATTAAATCCTTGTTGTAAATAACACGTGTTGTGTCCACACGTGTTATATTCGGCAACCTTTTCATCAATTTTGACAATAACTCTGAAGAGAAGTATTTATTATCAAAAATGTTTGTGTCATTCAATTTAGACATCCATTTGTCGTCGATATTAATGTTTAGAACTGTTGTGTAAAGCAATGTCTGGAACCGTTTGGACAGACATTCAAATGGGAACCGATCTTTGAGTGGGAGATAACTGACCATCAGTTCAACCAAATCGTCGCCAAACCTCTCAAACGAGTCTTTTGTATCAAATATTTCACACATTTTTCAATCACTTCTTAATACAAAGTGTTTCTAACATTAAAAGAATTGATATATAATTATCTACTATTTTATGCCATAACATCATTACTATTAAATGATTAGAAACTAGCAATACATCAATTGGTTTGACAAATATTTGTGATAATTATTTCTATTAATATTGTATTAATAATCAACCTTTAATTTTTTAAAGATTAGTGAATAATTTATTTGTATATTTTGAAGACATAAGTGAAAACTAAATACTAAATAATTTTAACATTACAGATTAATAAAAAAAATAAATTTTTATTATACGTATCATTCAATAAAAATACTTTTAATCATTTGCACTAAAGTTGTATTAATTCGCCTAAAATATTAGCAGTAAAAATACATGTGTTGTAAATTTATTAATAATCTGATTTGGATCTTTACAGCACATCCACGTTAAAGCATGTAATTAACAAAGTTTATACCTGTTCAGATATTTAATATAAAATAATCAAATATATATAATTAAATAAATAAATTTGTTTGAATTAAATTTAATTTAAATACTGAAATTAAAAAAATATTTATTTCAATTAATTTATTTTTATAAAGATTTTGTTTAGGAATTGAAAAAAAATGTCGGAAATTATGGAAAGAAAAAGAGATTCAATCGAAAGGTTTGGCAAAGAATTGGTTGAAGTGATCGTCAGTTATCTCCCACTCGAAGATCGGTTCCCATTTGAATGTCTGTCCAAACGGTTCCAGACATTGATTTACACAACACTTACGGACATTCATATCGACGACAAACTGATGGACAAATTGAGAGAAAAAAATGTTTTCGGTGACAAATATTTTACTTCTAAACATTTATTAATATTAATGAAAAAATGTCCGAATATAACACGTGTTGATAAAAATAAAGATTTAATGCAATTATTTGTGTCAATGAATGAAATGCGAAACAATTGGCCGAAACTCAATGAAATTGCAATCAAAACCAAGAAAATGGATTACAATGAAAATATACAGCTTTTTGAAATGTTTGGTCAATTGATCACTAATTTGGACACATTTGATAAAACCAATGAAAACAATTATTACTCGTTACTGTTGTATTGTCACCGATTATTACAACTTAAAATCGATGTCAACGTTAATAGTATATGTAAATTTAAAAATGCATTTTTTGTTTAAAATCTTAATAAGTTTGAGATTAACTTTTATGGATTTAATAACAAATTATTTCGTAGTTTTGTATCAAATATGAAATGTTTGAAAAGTCTTTTTGTCACATATTATAGTGAAGAAACAGCGAGTGATAAAACTTTCACTAATACAATTACAAGAACTGCGAGAATTGTCACTATATTTCTCAGATAAATATATATCGTTTAAATTTGCCGATTCTTTGCGTGAAATTGGATTTAATTTGAATAAATTGAAAAAATTTTCATTCAAATTAACATCAAGTATTCAATCAAATGTTATAAATTCATTGATAGCAATGGAGAGGTTTCGACATTTAAAATACCTTGAGCTTAAATTTGATTTTTATTGGATATCAAAGACTGATTGGATATTTTTAGATTTAATGCAAAGTTTGCCACAATTAACGCATTTAACACTGCATTTATGGCAAATACCCAATGAATTGATTAACAAAATTAGTGTAATTTTTCAAACATTAAATCACTTAATATTAAAGATGACTCAATTGAATATATGAATTCAATTAATTTAAATCTCATTTCAAGATTACATAAATTAAAGTGGTTTATAATACGAGCGACGGATTCAATACCTATTACTCAAAGGGATTTGAAGGCAATGTTTAGCACAAGTGATAGATTAGAGTCCATTGAAATCGCATTCAAAGGCAAGTCTTATATTCAATTGAAAAACAAACACTTCAAAACTTGAAAATAAAAAATAATTTAATTTTTGCTTATATTTTTGTCAAATAATAAAATATTTAATAAAACATGTTGATTAATTGTTCCTAAATGTATTAATTATTTTTACATCTAATTCATTGATATATAATTTCATTTCTTTTGGTATTATTTCTTCGTGTCATATAACTATCCAAATAATAATTAAATGTATTTAAAATAAATTATTTTGAAATTACACATAAAACAATTTGAAATATTATAAATTTTTATTTTTATTATATAATTATTTGAATATTATGTCAATTTATTATTATTATCAGTATAATTGTAATTAATTTTCTTTTACATTTGCATTTTATTTTTAATTTTAATTTTTTAATCATAATCTTTACAAACGCTTTTATTATAATTATTGATAATTTATTTGTCTTTTAATTGAATGTAAGACTTGTCTCCGTCTGTGATATGAATGGACTCTAATCTATCACTTGTGCTAAACATTGCCTT